GAAATGCGCATAACTTATACATCTGACCCTGGCAGTCGAAGCTTTTGACTTATATTATACGACAGTCGACAGATATACCACCGAATATCGACCGACATTCCACCGACAGTCAATGGTCAAGGTATCGGCCGAGTGTCGGCTGCTAGATCGATCGACACTCGACCGATGTATCGGTCGACCTATCGACCGACCCTCGACCGATATATCGGTCGATATGTCGACCGAGATATCTCGGTCGGTATATCGGCCGAGTGCCGATCGATATGTTGATCGACATATCGGTCGAGTGTGGGTCGATATATCGGCCGATACCTCGGTCGAGTGTCGGTCGATATGTCGACCGATATATCGGTCGAGGGGTGCACAAAATACACATGATCCAAATTTCCGGTAGATTTTGACCCCGTCGCGTCCACTCTACCCGGAGGAATTTGAAAACGGGGGTTTCTCTGAAAATGCATCAAATGTTTTCCGTCCACACTACGCCGGAGGAATTTGAAAACGCAACAAAAACCGGTCATTTTCTTTTCTGGTGGTTGACGAAGTCTCGGGCGGCGAAATCACGTTATTATCCCGGCTGATGTCATAGTTTTCGAAAAGCTCCATTTTCAAATCTTCCCGTCCCTAGGAAAACGGAAAGCCGGCGTTTTCAAATTCCGTCGGACTTTGAAAAGCGTTTTCGAAGAGCTCCGTTTTCGTGACGGATTAGTGTGGACGGTAAGCCTAGTCGTAGAAAAAAAGCGGTTGCGTTTTCAAATTCCTCCGGCGTAGTGTGGACGAGATCTTGTAATACTTGTTTCGTTGCTCTTGTCACGCTTTTGGCAAAGAAGTTCAGGGTTTGATTGAAAAGGACACAGGGCAAACTGGGCGGAAATAAAAATACTTTATCCTACAATGATTATTTCCTCTTAGTTAGCGTTCAGTTTCCTCTCGATTACTTTCAGTATGTAGCACCAAAGAGCTGCTGAAAGTTATAAGTGATGTTGCGCATACATTATTTGACTTGATACATGAAAAACTTCCTTCAGATCGAATGAAACCATGATGAAACCAAAGCTGTTACTGTTTATTTGAAGTGAAAAATGCCGAAAGCGAAAGAAAGTTCTTTTAGCAGATTTCTCCAATCTAGAGATTGGAGGTGACGGTTGTTCGGGGTTGGGGAAAAATACGGTGACTCGGCTTTCCGGCTACAGCGGGTTTCCTTTTGTAATATTTGTGAAAAGTACATTTTAACCTACAAAGAGAATGCGTGGTCTCGACCATGTTTTATGTCCCAGCAAAAGTGACTTGTTTACTATTCGTGAGAACGTTAAGAATCTAAGGGGCACCAACAAGCTTGTCATCCCTAAAGTTAACACCACCCGTTACGGGACTGTCCGTGGCCTACACTGCTTCAAAAGCTTGGAATTCACTTCCGGATACGCTACGTTGTATGAAGACACTTAAAGATTTTAAGATTGCGGTTAGATCTAATGTAAATTTACATATGTAAACCACTGTTAGCTATTATATATTTATATCTTGTAATTTTTTTAGTTTCAATTTTCTTTCGTTTAAAGTTATTTTTCTCGGTAAATTAGCATAATCTTGTTAGAGGCCTAATCAGCCTCATCAACCCGAGTTGAAATAAAGTTATCTATCTATCTATCTTTCTCTCCGGACCCTCTTTCATAACGTATCGTTGTTTCAAAGACCAATTGGTATGTTTTGGACTCCAACTAAAACCATAATCTCTAAAAGGAAAAACAACAGCAACAACAACAAAACAAAAAAAAGTAAAACAAAACAAAAACTAAAACAACCATTTTTTACGATTATAGTGTATAATTTACACACAAACTGGAATTCGTGAAAACCGATTTTTATCAAGAAAATGAGCCTATACCTAACTGATACGATACTGGAAGGACCTTACAAAGCCAGTGATTGGGTAGTCGTTTGCAGTTTAGAGATTGGAGGTGACGGTTGTTTGGGGTTGGGGAAAAATACAGCGACTCGGCTTTCCGGCTACAGCGGGTTTCCTTTTGTAATATTTGTGAAAAGGACATTTACGTTCTAATTCGCTTCGCTCAAACGAACGTAA